CAGATCCTCCTCGCATCTACCTCGTTTATTGGATCCTATTGGAGCCTGGACCGCAACGCCATCCTCAAGGTATGAGCGTCAATTCGAGACAATATTTGGAGTGGCAAGAACGGTGAAAGACTATGTAAAGTGAAAGTCGCTTAGGATTCCTCGATATTACCCCACACCCTCGGAGGATTCAAAGTTCTGGATCCGAAGACACAAGTGACGGCTCTGTTGGCCAAATTATTGAGCCGTAGTCTCCTCCTGGGGCACTCACCTTGGAAGGATCTGGTACAGCATCGCTTAGACTCGCTAAGACCTAAACGGGGTGGAAATTGGCCACCCCATATCCATTTCATGCTCTTTGCGAACAAGGTGCACGATCAGGGCTCTGACGAATGGTGGGCAGCGTGGAATGCATGGAAAAGTACATGGTCTTCCAGCAACCATCGAATGCGGAAACCACCCCGTGTCAGTGCATATTCTGGAACCCGGAAATCTTTTCAGATCCGGAATGCATTCTAGGCAATTTGAGGTGCTCATTCGGCAGCACCTGCATGCGAAAGCAGATTATCCAAGTAAAAGAAAGTTTTGACTGCGATATTCAGCTCTTGGAGTCTTACCCAAGCGTCGGCCCTCAAAGAGTTTGAGTGGGTTACTATCCTAGACAAGCGGGACCAGCCCGCCCAATTAGTTCAATTGTGTGGCCCACATAAGGGTGTGCTGTTTTTTCGAACCTCCCACTCCAACTCTACCATCTCCGTTACAGGATGGCACTTGCATAGCGTGCGAGTGGTGGTCTCGGGAAGCGAACCCCAGCACATACTTCTCAATCCGGACCGGGATTACACAAGCTCCATCTTTCTTATGGGCAGGGTACGAAACTTGCATTTCGACCCCGGGAAATGGAAATGGAGAGAACTACATGCCTTACCAGAACTGGGGTTCTTTCAATATCCCACAAGGAGAGGGTATCGAATGGCGACCTCGGAACGACCTCAACTCTCTCACCTCCACTTACTTCAATTGCGGATGGGATTAACTCATTCGGAATCCAAAGATGCACTTAAGTTGATCTGGGACCCTAACAAGCCAGCTAAACTCAACGTTTCTATGGTTAATTAACTCTGGAGGTTTACCCACGGGTAGCTGGAGCATCATCATGGGACTTCCAGGGAACTGAACATTGTCTCAAGCTTTGCCAAGCGGTTGATCGAATATGGACTTGATTTGGTACTGTGTAGCGCGGCCTTGGACATAACGCCCAGCTCACATGGCAAGAAACCCTTACTGGAATCCCCCCAAGCACAGGACCCCTCGACAACTACCAACCAGCCACCCGTTGCCTTGGGTTGGCAGGAGACGTTCTTAGAGCTTCGATCCTGTGGCAGATCTAGTGTGCCCGGTGTAGGAAGCTGAGTAAAACCGAAGTCATCCATCGGGCCTGGCGTGAAACAATCCTCGCAGGCATTGCCCGCCGCAGTCATATTTTGAGTTACACAAAATCTTGTAGTAAAGAAAAACAATCGGAAATATCGGTTTAGCAGTACACGGTGTCACAAATCCATCTTCTGTGCAGGGGACCTGACAACCCATGGTGGGACCAGGCCATAAGTGTATTTCTTTCTCCTCATTAAACACCGCCACTTCAACAATAAAAAATAAAAAAATTGTGGATCAATTAGTTCTAAACAACTCGAGGCTTAACATGGCTAATTTGGCGTTTTTATGCTACAATAGTCTAGCCTGAAGCCTTTTTGGAGTTCAAAACAAAACCTTGACATCGAACAGTGTTTTGATTCACCTACTCGAAGAGAGATCAGGGTAGGCAGAAAGAAGGCTCAATAATCAATGGAGCATAAGAGCAACTCCTGCAATCAGACACTTACACCGACCGAGAGAGAGAGCGCCACAGATCAACAGCATGGAACAGCAGCCGTCAACAGTGAGGATCCACTCTGCTCTCCTCTATAGGGAACAAGCAATCAAGCAACTGAGAGACTCCGGAAGAGCCAGCTTCATAAAAAGTGTTTAGAAAACTGTAGTGGAGAAAAAGCGGTCTCGGTTTCCGCGAATCTGAAAACAAGCGTTAGGGAACCTTTGTGCAGTGCGAAACCGCTGCGAGGCATCGGTTGTGCGATTCACTGGGCATCGGAGCGGGGGGGGGGGGGGGGGGGGGGGTCCCCTTCCACCCCCCCCGGGGGAAAAAGGGAATGAAAAATTGGCCCCCCCGGCCCCCCCTTTGGGCCAAATTAAGGGGGGGGGGGGGGCCCCCCCCCCATTTTATTCCCTAAAAAGGGGGGGCCCAAAAAAAAAAAAAAAAACCACCATTTGGATGGAAAACTGTTAAAAAAACAAAGGGAAGGGGGCCCCCCCCCCGGGAAGGGCTAAACCCAAACCCCCCCCCCCCTTTCGGGGGGGGAATTCCCCCCCCCCCTCCCCGGTTTTCACCCCCGGGGTTTTTCCCCCCCCCCTGGCCCTTTTTTGGGGGGGCCCCCCCCAAGGCCTTGCCGGGGTAAAATTTTAAAACCCTGGGGGAACGGAAGGGGGCGGTTCCACCCGGGGGGGAAAAAACCGGCCCTGGGAAACCCCCTCCCCGGCGTGAAATTTTGGGGGGCAAAGTAAAAAAATTTTTTGTCTCTTTTCGGAAAAAAACCCCCCCCCCAAAAATGGAAAAAAAATTTTTTTAAAAAAGGGAACCCGGTCCAAAGAAAGGGAGAATCCCGTTTTTTTGAAAAAAA